AGACACACGAGGCTTCCGGCACTGAAGACTACACTGCCTTCACCGGGCTGGTGTTTCCAGATGGTCTTTGCTGATTCCTCAAAGACAGGAGGAAAGAGAGCAGCTAGGCAGGCATGGAAGGACTGTAGAGGAGCTGCCCCCACCCCGGTCCGGTGAGGGGTCAAGGGGCTCCATGCTGTGCGTGCTGGCTCACCCCTCCTTCCTGCAGGTACCCTCAGGCTCTCCAGTAAGAATGGCTCCCCAGAAAAGATCTGATACTGGTCACCTCCTCCTCCTATGTGTGCGAATACATTCTCTCTGTTTTAAAAACCTGACCCTTTTCGGGAGGTATTCATTTTTTAATTAATGATTTCACATTTTAGCTCTCCAAGCCCCTTCAGAAAAGAAAAATAGTGTTTTTGGATATCAGGCTAAAACTTTAAGCCTTAGTGGGTCAACTTAAAGGAAGTATAAAATAATACTAGTTTTTTGATTTGGTGATGTCAGTCAGAGCAATTATGTTTTTCTGGGGGCTTTTGAGACTGACCAGAAGCATCTCACTATGTATGATACATTCCCCCACCCACGCCCCATCTCCCAAAATCAAAGGTTAATTCAGAGACGTTATTAGAAGAGAGTTTCTCATTGTCAGCAGATCAAGACAGGAGAAGGCAGTTCCTAACAGATTAAAAGCTGAGAAGACTTTCCCACTGCTTCTTACATATCCCGGAGCCTCCACAATCAATGGATTTGACGTCATTGATGCCCAAAGAGCACCTTTGCGTCACAAGCAGGTTTTACAGTATTTGGTTTAACAAGAAGAAAAACAGGATTTGATTATGACTGGATTGTTAAGTATAATTGGCTATAGATATTGATATTTTAACAATATTTTCCTTCAATTTGTAAGATAATTTAAAAAACTTATGGAAATCCAAATGTCCAAAAAAATATGAACTTTCATGCACCCACCATCTAGCTTTATAATTTTATATGACATTTTAAATCTAAGTAAAGTTATTAATGAAGCCCATCTGGTGACTGAGAAGTTCTATCTTTATGGAAAGCTGTTGCACAGGAAAATGTGTTATTACTATTCCTGCATTCATTATGCCTCCTGGAAACCAGTCTTTTTGGGTCACAAGGGCAAATTACATAGGAAAAAAGAAAGAATTTTGGGTTGTGTAAAAGTCACCTGAGGTCTTTAATTTACCATGTTTAAGTGCAGATTCCAGGCCAGTCCCTGGACAATCTGTTTGGAGTGGTGCCCAGCAATCTGTATGTCTGACAAGGTCCCCAAGTTGACTGGCATAGATCCCCAGCCAACTGTACTTGGGGTAACAGCTCCATCTTGCAATCCCTATAAAGTGGCCGTGAAGTTATCATGGCAATTTAAGACACAGACTACTCCCACCTAGCAAATAAGGCTAGGCTTGTCACCATATTAATGACTTTTAAACCTCAGAGGTGAAAGGGGAAGGGTCAGCAGTGCTGTGAGAGCAGGTCTGGCCGTTCCTGTGAATTCAGACCTGCTGGCGGGTGGATTGTTGAGCCATTGGGTTTCTTTGCCTTCGCAGTTCCAGCCCCTGAAGCCCACGTAAACTTGTCCCTCAGAGTAGGGCATCAGCCATTTCTCTGGAGCCATGGTTTCAGTCCTGGAAGTTATTATTGCCCGAGGGGATTCAAGTGCACTTAAGTACCATGTTGTGTAATGCTTCCTGTGATCTTTAAGTGCCAAGTCCATACTTGGTTCTGCGTCAGACACAGTGGGCTTTGTCCCTTTTGGAAAAGCTATGGCTTCTTGGGACACACAGGGAAATGGTTGCCTTGGGGAGAGCGGGGCTACAGGACGGACGATGGCCCAAGCGCAGCCCTGGGTGCTTTCCCCGAGGGCAGGCCCCGGGTCTTACTCACATTTGAGGCCGAGTGCACCCTGCCCAGGGCCCAGCACTGCAGTGAAATGGGATGCCAGCTTGAAGAAGAGGGTGGGCAGCGAGAGTTGCTGCTCACATGGAACGAGGCTGCATCAATGGGGTTTGCTCTGTGTGGAGGTGGGGTGCAGGCGCGGGGAGTCCTTCACGTTCGATGGGGCCCCTGCCACAGGCAGGATAGGAGAGCGGTGTCTGTCGGCCCCACCGAATGGGGCGGCTCCAGAAGCTTTGTAGGACGATGCAGAGGGGCAGTGAGTTCCTTCCTGTCCCTGCAAGGCCTCTGAGGCTCTCCTCCATAATGGCCCCCCAGAACCTGGCTTCTTTAAAGAGCTGGGCTTGCTTTCAGCACTGGCGCCCCCAGGTACAGGGACCGCTGGGGCCCCTGGGCAGGACCGAGCTCCATCGTCCTCCCCAAACACACTTCCCTTCCTCGTCTTTTCAGCTCACCAGCGCCTAACCCTGTCTTTTTAATGTGTGACCCACATTCCTTCTCCTTTTCTTTTTTCCTTTCCCTCTCCGGCTTCCCTCACCCTGTTCCTTAGAGTTTTGTGTGTGTCTTGAAGCCCAGCCCTTTGATTTCTTGAGTGAGGGGATGGACTGGCAGGACCTTGGGCAGCCACCTCATCAGCTGGCGGGTAAGGCCTCCTGAGAGAGGAGAAAGGAATCTTGGAAATTTGAAAAGGAGTTGGGAGAGGGATTCTCTGGGAGTTAAGTGGAAAAGAAACATGAATCTCTGCTATCTGAATACTCCTGGAACCTCTAGGCAGAGTTACCTCCTCTCCATCCGGAGGGACCGGTCAGGAGGTATTCGAGCTCTACAGAAGAATTGCACGCCCCGTCCTGTCAGCATTCTCTGCAGGTCCCATGCCCACCTGAGTCCATTGGTCCTGAAATGGAGAGACACCGAGTTCTGTAGGGTCTTGCTGTGAAATAACCCGTTTACTCTGTTACCTCAGTTCCTGCAGCTGTCAGGCCCTGGAGTATCACAAAGCTGCCGCTTCTGTGCGGAGGCTGCTGATCTGATAGCCATTCAGTCCTTGTTATCTTCCAGGTTTGAGATGCCTGGGATTCGCAGGCTTGCTGGGACCACCTCCCAGTTTCCCTTAGACCAGACCTAGGGGCTGCCGTTTCCTCCTCGGGGGTGAGGCTGTCTGTGCAGGGCTCCTGAGCCAAGGACTGTGGGTTTACACCTGCCGTGAGGGCCAGCAGGAGAGTGGACTGTCTCTGTGTAGATATTTCTGCTTTGGCAGCTGGTTTGTTTCTTGTTGCTGATAAAGTAGCAACTCTTCTCTTCTTTGAAAGAGCCTGGAAAAGTGTTGTCCTAGTACTTATGTTTTGCTTTTTAAAATTACATGTCTTAAAACTTTTTGTGGCCTTACTTCAAAGACTTATATATGTTTACACACACACACACGCACACACATATGTATCTGAGAAGAGGCGGCATGGAGTCTGAATCTGTGTGGACCCCAGGATTCTGTGTCTTGCCCCACTCTCCCGGGTCAGGGATTCTAAATGGTGTATCCTGACACAAACACACACATACCCTGCCCAACTCCTGGGTGGACTCTATCAGGAAAAAGTCATTCGGGGTGTGGCCTGAGATTCGCTGTCCTGGCTCACTGAGTGCCCCCTGTTCCCCCAGGCGACTTGCAGCTCCTCTTGGTGCTGACATGATGACAGTGTGGAGGCCGGCCAAGGGCAGCCACAGCCAGACTGAAAACCTAAGCTACAAATTGGCTGACAAGTAAGAACTTTTCTCCCCCGAGAGCGTAGAAGTTGGCCTAGATTCTCTGTCTCCGTCCTTTCTCAAAGCCTGTGCTCCTCGCTAACCCCACTTCCGTGAACTAAGGAGCTTCTTTTCTGAGTCACTGTGATGTGCCTCCTGTAAATCATCTCCATGCACTGCTCAGTTAAGAACCCAATGACCAAAGTGGTCAAGGGAGGGTCTGACGGGTGCCAGTGCTGTGAGGAGGATCCCATGGTGAACGCAGGCCCTGCCGCATTTCTGCCTTCTGGTCCGGGGGTTGTTTTCTAACTATGAGGATGCTCAGGTGCTTTAGTTATTCCTGAGCCCTAAACCTTTGCAGCTGCATCTGTCTGTGAAGCCAGTTCTGCCCACCTCAGATCAGCAGGGTGGTTTTCTCTCCAGATGGAGCCCTTCCCTCTGATGCTCTCTCACACACCCTGCCACAGAGTTGTGGCTCGCTCAGCTGTTTGCAGCTCGGCGTCCTGGACCGGACCCCCTCCTGGGGCCGTAAAGTCCTGGAAACAGGAACTCAAGAAACTCTTGGGTGCAGCAGCCGTGTGGAGAAGGCACTGTGACCCTGGGTTTCATCGTCCTCGCCTCTCTTGCCTGAGCTCTGTAAATCCAGTGTGGCCTTCCAGGAAGCCATCCTTTCTTCCTCTTCAGGCTTTAGATGGCTACGACAGTGATTATGAAGTCATTCCAGATGTTTTGGATCATAGACAGTAACTATAATCATTACAATAACACTCTTTGCCATTGATTAATAACGTGTGTTATAATGTGTGCTGTACTCTGGGCACATTACATATAACTCATCCGTTTATTCATCTAACAAATATTTATGGACTGCCTACTATGTGCTGGGCTCAGCAAACTAGATCAGTTTGGCCTGTGTACCAATAAAGTTCCAGTCTACAGACTCCATGGAGATAGTTGTCTGATTTTAAGATGAAAAAAAGTGGAGTCAAGATTCGAATCCAGGTACCTTTGACTAAAGCCATGTATTTATCTACTGTCAAAGATATTTGTAACAGTACATGTGATATTAATGATTATATATCATCAGTTGTCACAAAAGCATGAATGAACCTGAATTGTGTTTATGTGTCTGTTCTGTCCCTTCTTCTTGCCTCTAGCCCAATGAGAGCAAGGACTTTAACTTCTGCCTTTTGAACTTTCAATAAAATATCAAGAAACTGATTCTGATTTTGATTCTGACTAAAATCTGAATGCATGCTAATGTCCTCAGTAGTGACAGAACAGTTAAAAATGTGTTTCTCTTTTGTAAGCACTCTGTTATGAATGCTAATTGTGTATTTAAATAAGGAATTCTGCTTTGCTAGCCGCACTTAACACGCGAAAATGTGTTTGCATTATCACAAGTTTCTAATTTATGCTGTACAACTAAGAGCCACAGTTTAAGTGCTAATACCTCAGTCCAGGGAAACATCTGTATAAACACCTGCTGGTATTTGGAACAGGATGCATGAAATTGCTAATTATTCACCCCTCACTGTGAACCTTAACTGGAGTTTCAGAATTCATATATAGTCAGATCTATATATTCAAAAAACATGCCCCATGAAGTTGGTCCATGTGTGGTTGCTAATCTTGGCATATCTAAGGTCATTGTGCTTAGTCATGACCTTAGCTAGTGAAGCAATGTTTTACATTTGAAAACACAGATACTCCCATTCTCATTACACTAGCTTTCAAATATTGCTCTGTTTTTCTTTCAAAATAACTTTTAACATCTTCATGGTACTAACTAATCTAAAAATCTCATTTGGAGCCACATGTCTGTTCTAGGCCAGAACGTTCTGTGTTGATGGAAATATTCTTTTGCTCTGTCCAGTACAGTAGCCATCAAATCTGGTGCAAGTAAAGAACTAAAGTTTGATTTGATTTAAGTTTATGTAGCTCCATGTGGCTAGTGACCACTGTATTGGACAGTGGGTGAAATCTGAATCTGTCCATTCATTCATGCAACAATTTTTATTGACCACCTACTCTGCCAGGCATTGTTCTAGGTGCTAGGGGTACAACAGTAGCCAAACCAGGCCAAAATTCAAAACAGTCCTTGTCCTCGCAGATAGATCAGTCTAATGGGACTTAAATTCTAGAGGAGGTTCAGTTCAAATACAGTCAATAATTGTGGCTTTAATCCACTCAAATCAGGACAGGTATCAAGCCCAGAATTAACAAAAACTTCATGACTTGTGCTGTTGTTTTAATTTTTAAATAGCCATTATATGGCTCATCTGTCATGTACAGTAATAGAGGAAATTTATGCTATCTAATCTTATATCTCATAAAATTTCTCCTTTTTTTATTGGAGTAAAAAGCTAATAATAACAAGCACCATTTATTGTTCACTCATGACAGGCTCGATGCTGTATGTGGGCTGGTTCATCCAGTGCCTGCAGCCACCTTGTTAGGTACCTTTACTATTATTCCCACTTCACAGATGAGAAAACAGATTTAGAGAAGTTAAGCAATATGCCTGTGGTCACACAGCTGGTCAGTGGCTATTAGGATTTAAACCCAAGTCTATTGGACTCCAGAGTCCAATAGTTCCTTTCATTCCACAAGGCTGTCTTCCCAAGAAAAGCATAAAGTGATTTTCTTAAATGGTGTTTCACTATTTGTGATTTACGATTAGCATATAACATTTATATCTAAGTTCTAGAAAATCTGTATGACCAGCCAAGAACAATAACTAAGAATCCTCACCCAGTGTTTGTCTCTTGTTCAGGGTCAAGGTGGAAGGTCCAAAGGCTGGGGAAGACCGTGGAAGGAAGCCGTTTAGGTCCTCCTTCCCTTTCCTAGAGACTGATCCGGATTCGCCCTTCAGAAGAAGCCCACTGGCAAGTCTCAGTAACCTGGAGCTAGAGTCACGAGTGGACTGTTTCCAGCAGAACATGTTCAACTCAAATATGATCATCAGTGACCCAGCCTCAGACCTTGGTGCTAAAGAAGCCAGCAGGGCCAGCAAGTGGCAGTTTAGTGGTGTTCAGAACCCCTGCCCTCCTGCCCGAGGTGGGGTCCGGCACAAGCCCCTCAGCATAAAGGACAAGATATCAGAATGGGAAGGGAAAAGGGAGCTGCCCCCTCCCACACCTGGAAGGAAAGCAGATGGGCCAGCGGATTACCTGACGTCCTGTGAGGTGGGGAGCGGACGCAGTGATGGTGTGAGAGCTCAGGCCACGGAGGCTCAGGACGGGGGCAGGCCGGGAACAGAGAACCAGGAGAATGAGAGGAATAGAGGGGCAGTGACAGGTGGCGGACGGGACGCCGAGCGGAGGCACGACCGCAGCCCACCAGACAGGGTGCTGGCGTCGAGCTTGGGCAGAGCCCAGGAGCCCAGGCTTGGCAAACAGCGCTTCCAGAATGACAGCCTCTCGGTGCTGAAGCAGGTCAAGAAGCTTGAGCAGGCGCTGAGGGACGGGTCAGCAGGGTTGAATCCCCAGTTACCAGGGACTTGTTACTCCCCACACTGCCTGCCGGACAAGGCTGAGGAGCGACCCACCCTTGCTGAGAACCATGGGGGCGGCAGTGGCTCAGAATTCAGGTCCCACCACGTGGAGCTGGAGGCCCGGGCGCCTGCCGCTGGGGCTGCAGAGGAAGAGAAGGGCCTATGCGGGAGGCCCAGGGAGCAGGGGCTGGAGGGTGTGTACCGGGGCTGGGAGGGCTGCCCTCCGAAACCCTTCATCAACCCCCTGCCCAAGCCCCGGAGAACGTTCACACACGACGGAGAAGGGGACGAGGACAGGAGCCCAGGCGTCAGCTTGAGGAAGGATAAAAGGGACCTACCTCCTCTGCCCTCCCTACCTCCCCCGCCCCTGCCCTCCTCCCCACCGCCTTCCTCAGTGAACAGAAGACTGTGGAGTGGGCGACCGAAACCCAGCGCTGACCACAGGTGGGTGGCACGACTGCTTAGGTAGTTTATGCTGTATCCCAACCACCTGTTCTCGGCTGATGATATTTTATTTTAAACTACTTGGGTGTTGTAACTACAAGTCAAGACTGTTCATAGCTTAAGATACATTATTGATTAAAAGATGCTTGTATTTTGTGTGTGTTCACTGTCCTAAAAGAAGAATATTTGCTTTGAAAACTTACCCTTTGGGTACTATAAGTACTTGTAATTCAGACAGTTAGCAAGACTTAAAGGAAAGCTCGTGTTAACACTGGCAATCTCCTAATCAGTGCTGACTGGCGCTCATTCTGCTACGACTGTCCCCAGCTAGGGCGAGGTGCTTCGAATCTTTCCTGGCTCTTTCCTCATGCTTTTTCTTAGTATGGGCTCTGGAAACACAGTGCCTGGGTCTGCTCTGGCCCCATCACTATCTACATGACCTTGAACAAGTTACTTAACTTCTTGAAGCCACAGCTTCCTCACTTATACATACAGATACACATACTGTACATTTTATAATATTAAAGTAATACATTAGGTAATAAAGCATGTGAATACTTGGAGATAAAATCTGTGCTTTGGAAACAATTTCTTTTCTGCTTTGAAACCTAATTTCTAGTCTATTTCTGTAACGTGCTTATTGGTTTGATACCTCCTAACCTGAATCCAGCTGTAGAGCAACACTCCTGAAGACCGTTGTCTGTTCGTATTGTCATCATTTCTTCCTTCACTTTCCATGTTTCCTTGACCAACTGTAGATGGACTTTTGCCACTTATCCTGAAACTGCTGTTGACCACAGGACCTGTGACCTCCATCTTGTCGAATCCAATTGCCAGTTACTTGTTCTTGCCTTATTTGACCTCTCTTGGCATTTGGGGAATGACTTGACTTGCTCCACCTTGAAACACTGTTTACTTGGCTTCAAGGTCACCTACTTCCCTGGTAGTCCTGCTTCACTGGCTGCTGCTTCTCAGCTTGATTCTCCTCTCCCTCTGTACCCCCGCCCAAACCATCTACCCCTCCACGTGGGACCAGAGCAGGAAATTTTCTCCTCATCTACGTTTATCCCCTAGATGAGTGCATCCAATCCCATGGCCTTCAATATCAATTACATGCTTATGATTTGCAAATGTGTTCTCCAGCCGTGATTCCCTCTCCAGCTTCTGGTAGTGTGTATAGTCATCTCTGTTTGGGTCTCCATTTGGTTACCTAATAGTTTGGACTTAACATTTCCAAAACTAAATTCTCAGACCAAGTCACCACCAGCTGTTTCCTCCCCAAATAATTGTCATCTACTAAATGGCATCACTTTTCATTTTGCTTAGGCCCAAAACCTCGGAGTCATCTTTGGTTCCTCCCTTTTCACATACCCCCAGTCTAATTCATCAGCAAAACTTAGGGTTCTAGTTTTGAACATGATCTTAAATCTGACATCTCCTCCACTGCTACTTAGTCATCTTGTATCTACCCCTCACCCCCAGTATATACTCCTCCTCAACAGCCAGAGGAATGGAGATTCTAGAAATGGAGATTCCATCGTGTCACTCCGTACTCAACATGGTCTGTGAGGTAGGATTCTTTGGGCTGCAAAAAACATAGTTTCCTATGTTCTTTTCCAGGGAAAAAGTTTGCATGTTTCTAGAATTTTATATATAAAAATCATATCCTTTTAAGAATGAAATCATACTGTATGTACTGTTTTTTACTTAATATATCACTGCGATCTTTCAGTATTACCACCTTCCTTTTTTTCTACCTTTTTTAACTGCCACATTCTTTTTTTTTTGCATTTCACTTTTTTTTTATTAAGGTATCATTGATATACAATCTTATGAAGGTTTCACATGAGCAACATCATGGTTACTACATTCACCCATATTATTAAGTCGCCCACACACACCCCATTACAGTCATTGTCCATCAGTGTAGAAAGATGCTATAGAGTCACTATTTATCTTCTTTGTGCTATACTGCCTTCCCCGTGACCTGCCACATTCTTTACATTATGCAGATAAAAGTCATGTTTTATTTAGCCATTCCCCTATTGATGGACACTTAGGTAGTTTCCAGTTTACAGATAATGCTGTGATGAGCAGTAGATATCATTAGAGAAGACTCACAGCCAGAGTACTAACTAGCTCTGCTACTCACTATCTATGTGACATTGGACAAGCTACTGAACTTGTCTTGGCCTTATTTGACTTATTTTACTTATTAGGGTATTTATTTCTTTTCCAGTACAAAACTTTTAATTAACTTAACCTTATAATATGTTCTCATGTCTAGTAGAACTTAGATAAATTTCTTATTTTTACTAATAGTTTGTCAGTTAATTTTATTGGACTTTCTATGTATATAATCATATTGTCTACAAAAAATTATTTAACCTCTTTCTTTTTAATTTATACCTCTGAATTCTTTTTCTTGCCAAATTGCACTGGCTAATACTTTCAGAACAGTGTTTAATAACAGTGCTGATGCAGTGGGCAGCCTATGTCATCCTTAACTTTAATGGTAGTGCTTCTGGTGTTCTCTCAAACACTCATGTTTGAGATGTGTTTTTATGTTATCAAGACTGTTCATTTATATTTCTTTTTCCATTAAGAGTTTTAAAAATTAGAGTTGGATGTTAGATTTTGTCAAGTTACTTTTCAGTAGACTTATATGAGCATATATATGGCTCCTCTCCTTTGACCTATTAACAGTTAATTTATATCCTACATTTACCTATCCTTACATTTGGGGGATGAGCTTCCATTTGGATTATTATTATTTTAATATACTGCTGAATTGCATTTGCTAATATTTTGTTTAGGATTTTTGTATCAGTATCCAATAATTGGAACTGGTCTACACTCGGCCAGGCTTTGGTATCAGAGTTACGTGAGGGCTATAGGAGAATTGAGAGGCTTTCTTCTTTATGTTCTGAGAAGGTTTGTATCATCTCCAATTCTAAATCCCTTCTCAGACCAGTGCCAAAGCCCAGGTGCTCTGGGGACTTTTCTGCTGCTGTATCCCCAGCGCTTCCTAACAGCAGCTCTTCCGTGCCCTTCTGGGCTCTTCCTCCAGAGAAGCCCAGCTCTCCCGGGGGCAGGTTGGTTCCAAGCCATGGGTTCTTTCATCTGTGCCATCACTGGGCAGACAGAGCAGCCCGATGAACAATTATTCTCATTATCTTTTCTTGCTTAGCTACCATCTGCTCTTTTCAGTCTTCCAGCAGTTTCTATAAAACCAGCTAAAGTTACTTGGTTTCCATCCAAAGATGAAATTTTTCTTGGCCAGATTGAGTATGGTTGCAAAAGCTGTGTTTTAAGAATTTTGGCTTTGGATTTTTTCATTTTGTTTAAAATAGTACAATGGGGTGATTAGGGTAAGATGTTCACTTTCTACTCTTAAAAAATAATGTGCTTTTTATTGTGGTCCTATCTCTTAAAGAAAAGGCTCAACTCTGAATTTGGCAGGCTCACTGCCCTCTCTGTGGCAGGAAAGCCAGGCCAAGGCTGAAGAAAGAAATGATTAAGGATGCTAAGGTTGCGAGGGTTTAGGATTACACGGCTGGGCTGTGCGCTTTGGAGAGCGAACCCAGCTTGTTTCCACAGGCCCACTAGGCCACTCCACAGGGGCCAAACCAGTGGGTTGAGATCCACAGTTTGAGAAAACGTGTTTATCTCTCCTTTTCTTTTCTTCCTCTTTTTCTATTTTTCCCTTCTCCTTTTTCTCTTTCTTCTTTTCTCTCTCTTTCTTCTCTCTTCTTTCTTCATTTGTCTAAAGCCCCAGGAAATTAAATTCAAGGATTTATGCCTTCAGTCCTATAATGGAAAATGAGAAACCCTCAAATATCAGGAAATTCCAAAGATAAGGTTCCTGCAGCAGCATTACCTTGGTTATGTACGTTTTATGACATATATTTAATAACTTTGGAAGGAATGCCTTAAGGCCAACATTTAATAAGAAAAAAATTTTTTTAAGTATAAGCAACATCCTGAATTCACATTTATCTATATGCCCAGAATATTCTAACTTGAATTCAGGTTTTTTTAATTTTAATTCAATTTGATCATATGACAAGAGTTTTTAGATCTTTGTGAAACCAAATAACTACATTGACCAAAATTTCAGCTTTTCAACTGATTGTTTTGGCATCTTATAGATTCAGCCTTTCTTTAGGATGTTAGTGTAAGACTTTCAGAACTTTGTGAGGACCTAAGACCTCCATCATTGTATGGCTTCCAAATTGTGCTGTGCTGTTATTGATTCATTAATTTCCATCTTGTATTTGGCTGATATGGATCCCACAGCACTCTGGCTCGGCAGCAACCCTCAGCTGTCATCAGGTTAGTGGTTAGAGTTAACTTACCAGCCACGTGGTCTGTCCCTGTCACAAGTCTACTCCATCAACATGACATGCGCGAGGCAACCTCCAACTATCATGTCTAAAACCTGAATGTTTGAATCTTCAAAGGGGCAAAATGTTTGATTAATTTGAGCGTTAGAGCAAAATTTACTTTGAAAGCATCTGAGAAGCTTGATATTGTAAATTCATATATTTCAATAGTAGCTGCATTGGAAAATACAGTAGAGCGGGTGGCTGTCACTCCACATTTGGGCAGTGATTGTCATGTTTCATTTCTCATTGGAAGGTGGAAATGGTTGGATTTTAGACTCATGGTGGATAGAGAGGGTTTTTCTTCTGATGTTTCTATTTTGGATCCAGGATAGGGATAAGCAGAAAGCCAGTGTGGGTGGTCATAGTACTTGGAGGAGGAGATGCATGATAATGGAGGGCGAGCTAAGAGCTGACAGAGGAGTGCTCCCACTTAGCCCCTGTCTGATCACCCTGTGGGATGAGCGTCCTTCCAAGGGTTCGGTGGGCCATGGGGAAGAGCTGCCCATGGTCTCTGGGATGGAGGCAAGGAGGGAATCTGTGGCAGCTGGAGATGCATAAGAGAATCAGAACATGGCGTCCCTGGCTTCTAGCCCAGCTGAATGGTGTAAGTGG